TTGAATTTTATAGTGTTACATACTAACGGTTAGTTCAAGTTTATGGTAGTAAAAAAATAAATAATAAGAGAGGAACGAATGATGACTGTTCCCGCTTAAATAGGGTAATGCTGGGATCAGACACTGAAGAAGTTAAATCCAAACGCCTAAGTACACAAGATGTGGAGAAGAAAAGCGAAAGTTTGGTAATATTTATGCTGTTGTTCTGATTTATGTAGTCAGATATCCTTCTGAAGTAGAGAAATCATGCCATCAGCTTGTTTTCAGAGAGTTTATACACCAGCTCTGGCATATAAGCATCTTTTCTTTTTTGTTTTTGTTGAAGTTATTCAAACTCGGGAGCCTTAGCAATAGAGCGCTTTGTGTCACATGTGTCACATGTACTGTTTTTGCATTTACTAGCTAACTCAACGAGACTCATGGTATGAACGACTACTTTCAGTCAGCCATCTTGAATGTCTGGTCTCTCTCTAACAGCATTTTAAAAATATTTGTATGCAATAAAAATACAAAGAAATCAGAAATTTGTAGTCTGCCTTCCAGATTTTAGATATAAACATATGAAAACGAAGGGACAACATGAAAAGGTGTGAAAAACATTAAATAAAGTTTCATCATTATATGCATGCAAAGAAAGAGAAAGTATTTAATTATAAAGATGGTTCAAAAGAATCTTGATATGTAGTCACATGATATCTGCCTTTGTTTTTGACAGCCTGATATATTTTACCATGTGTACATTGATCGACATTCCTCCGTCAAGTCCACCCTGACACTGGTATTTCATCCGAAGCCATGTCAATAATGAACTCCTTCGTCAACGATATTTTCGAACGGATTGCAGCTGAGGCAAGCGGGTTGTCGCACTACAACAAGAAGTCTACCATCTCAAGCCGCGAAGTTCAGACAGCTGTCCGTCTCTTGTTGCCTGGTGAGCTTGCTAAGCACCTCGTGTCAGAAGAAACAAAGGCAGACATCGTGTGACTACATATCAAATCTGACTACACAGGATTATAATAACAAAACAGCAAAATAAAATCCGTTAATATTTAAGACTCACAGCGTAGTTAAGCTGATTTTTTAGAAGATCCCCTGTGGGGCTGGAATTTGCGTAGACTCAGACTGGATCTACTTACAGCATTAAGTAGTCACCAGGGGAGATTTTAATCTCGATCATATCCATATTGTTTACTACTCGGCCTTAAGGTAGAACACTTGCCAAACTGGAATGCTCATAATACAGTGTTGTCAGGGATATTTGCTATAATATTTGATTAATTTAACAGTCAGCAGCCGAGGTCGACTGGAGCTGAATGACTGAAAAGTTATGACAGATGAGGCTGGCAGAGTTCTTCGGGCGATGAAGATGAGGTGTTTGCATAGAGGATAGTTCATGTAGATTTGGTGTAGCTGCAGTGATGAGCATGTTAGGCTTTTTATTCCACTCTAAGTTTGTGTGAAATGATTGCGGATATTTTGAGATGAGGCTTATTAATCAAATAATTGAATCAACTAAAAAAGGAACTGAGAACAGTACTAGCGCAACATTGATTATATTAAGTAATTATAACAATTCCGTCCGTTCCTATTAATGCGTTGAGTGAACAGAGTTGTTTGGGTACGTAAGTTAAAGGGATAAGAAACAATATCACGTATTTTTGGCGTATAGCAAACTGTGTCACGACTGCTTTTGTATTTGTATTGTGGTGTTGATTTTGATGGCGCCACTTCAGAAGACGGATATGCCATATAATTCCCCTATTTCAAGGGTCTTACTAGTATCAACTCTACTTGTAATTTCTTCACCAGATTTACTCAAAGATGGTTGAACGCTACAATCATCGTCAATGCAGGCACTGTTTTTATCAATTTTCCACAGATTAAATAACCATTTCGACCAGCAACAATAACAACAACCAATAAGTGAACTGAAAACGACAGCTTATGCCATCAAAATGTGTTCATATGCAGTTTTCAAAACATTTGATGTATGAATATTACACTAACGGCTGAAAAATAAATAAAACACTGAAATAAGAAGTGGAAGCAATGCATGAAACAATTGCGATGAAATGAATGAACTGACCTGGCTGCAGGAACTTTCGGTATATATGAAATATCAGACTTCGGCGGCAACGGAAACGAATGGAATTGATATGCAGTATCAGCGCATAATATGTACTGAGATTATTTGTAAGCAGCTGCAGGATAAACATGAAACCAATGTATGAACGAATGGCCATCATACAGCAATCCAACATAGCCTACTAACAAAGATTAAAATGAACTTGAAGTGTATTATTCGTCGAATGGCTCCGAACATGTACTATAATTTCAGTCGAAAACTATTAATCTTCATTACCATTCTCGGACGAAATGAAGACATAGAAAACTGTAAATAACAATGATAACAAGTCAGCCTTTCAAAGCGATCAAGATACGTTAGCTAAATTGATAAACTTCTGGAATTTGGAAATTTATTCCAGGAAAAGAGAGGTAATGCACTCCGTTCAGAGGTTTGACACATAGTACTTACTCACAAAAGGACTCAGGAACTATTGCCAGCCACGGCTTGGAAGCAACTGCATATTGAATGCAGCCGTGGCTGAGACTTTTATAATGCTAGGGGCGCTTCGGAATGCCTTCTAACGATTGGATAAATTTGTTGAACGTACTTTACGCAGCACACATCAGGAATCGTCTAGTGTACTGTATACAAGGGGTTAGTCCATGCCCCTGTAAAAAGAAGGCACATGCATTGGACTGAGTGCAGATGGTAAGAACCAAGTAAGTCAGTGGTATCCCTCACCTTCCCTGTGAAAATATTATTATTATTGTTCCCTTGGGTTCCTAATGGAACATAGGGCTTCAACTACACGCCTCCACTTGCTTCTGTCTTCTGCTGTACTTTTCACTTGCATCCATGTTATTCCATACTGTTTCATCTCCTCCTCACACGATCTCCTCCAAGTCACCCTTGGACGTCCCACTCGCCGCTTCCCTTTCGGGTTCCACTCGAGGGCCTGACGCGTGATGTCACCCAACGGCCTCCTCAGCGAGTGTCCAATCCATCTCCACTTTCTCCCGCATATTTGTTGGTCGATTGGTTCTTGTTTTGTTTCTTCCCATAGCTTCTTGTTTGTGATTCTTTCCGGCCATCTAATCTTCAGTATGGAGCGAAGACATTTGTTGATAAAGGTCTGCAACAGGCTGTTGGAAATATTCTTTGTGACCCGCCAAGTTTCTGATCCATCCGTATAGAAGAAGTGACTGACTTGACGTTTGTATTGAAAATCCGAATTTTGTTGTTGATGCTGAGTGACGAAGATTTCCAGATTGGTTTCAGGTTGATGAATGTGTTTCTCGCCTTCCCGATTCTCGATTTGACATCCTCGTCCGTTCCTCCTGTAGTTGAGACAATGCTCTCTAGATAAGTGGATGAAGTAACCTCTTTCAAATCCCTCCCGTTGATGGTGATTGGAGCTGGATGTTGCTGCTGTTGTTGGTTGGTTATTTTCATAACCTCCGTCTTGTCTATGTTCACCTGGAGTCCTGTCTTTGCTGCTTCTTCGACCAGTTTGTCGGTTTTTGCTTGTAAGTCTTCGATTTTGTGTGACATCAAACATAAATCATCCACGAGCGAAATCCAGGTCTTCTAGATTCTTCACGTCGGTCCAGGATATCCCTGTCTTCTCGTTTCCATGCACTGTCTGACGCATAATCCAGTCCACCACAATTAGGAATATCATTGGTGATAATAAGCACCCTTGTCTGACTCCTGTGTTCACTCCAAACGCCTCGCTGAGTTTTCCGTTGTGGATCACTTGACATGTGCCGTTGTCGTACAGCTGTTGAATAAGTTTGATGAATATTTGGGGTACGCCATAGTACTCGAGTAGTTTCCAAATTACTTCGCGGTCAACGCTGTCGAAGGCCTTCTCAAAGTCTATGAAGTTGAGGTAGAGATTTGATTGCCATTCCATGCTTTGTTCGATGATAATGCGTAGAGTTGCAATGATTTGCCTTTCCTGAATGCAGCTTGTTCTGGTCGGAGTTCTGTATCCAGTGCGTCCTTGATTCTCTCCAGGATGATGCGACTCAAGATTTTACTTGGCGTCGACAGGAGCATGATTCCTCGCCAGTTCTTGCAGAGTCCTAAGTCACGCTTCTTTGGTAGTTTCACGAGGTAACCCTTCCTCCAATCAGTAGGCACCTTTCCCTCTCCCTGTGAAAATAGGATGGAGTATTTAAATCTCATCCCAATATCGTAAAGAAGGGGGAGAAGTTATTTGATTCTGGCATATTGTATATTAAAAAGTTAGTTTGAGGATTAGCCTCCATGGTCTTTCCTGTCTCTCTAGGATACAGCTGTGGGGTCACTACAAAATGGTGACTAAACTGCGAACGGATAAAATACGTGTGGATTTTACATTCTCGGACGGAATGGTCAACGACGTTAATTCATTACGCGATCAAACAGTATCAGCTGCACCGGTGAACGCTTCTAAAAATTTGGTCTCTGCACAGATGTGTATTACGTGGATTAAAAAAGACTACAACAGCCTACCTTCGTATTATTTGAATCGTCCGATGCCTGTACAGTTAGGAACCATTTTAAACAGTAAATTTTACAGAGCGCCTCGATTTTCAGCAAATTCATTTTACTGAAAAGCATTTGCCTTGGACAGGCAAAAATGAGGAATAGTGACGAAAATCTTTCTGTACATCGAAGAGTCGGATAATAATAATACTAGCTCGTAATCAGGATATTGGATATTGGAATAATAAAGATAACCAAATTTCATGTCCCAATTCAGAGTTAAGAAGTTACCAGTTTTGTATTCTCACTGTGACATCCTTGAATTGACTTTCCTGAGGTTAAAATACCTCATATGTCCTCTTCACCTGTGTATTAAATCTGTCAATCACTTTGTCTGGCCATTTCGAGCTCCCACTCAGAACAGGGATCACGGAAACCAAAACCTTAATTGGCGGATTTTCAAAGGTGTTGTTACTGGGTGGTGCGGGTTTTTTGATGTCTTTCGACCTTCATCGGCATTTCGCTCGTAAATTTTAAAGATGAGCAATTTCCCATCTTTGGAGTGTCGATCACTTAAACGGAAAGAACACTACCCACCAGATGTATATTGCCAAAGAATTGAGCAGAAAGAAGATTTGATGTGTGAAGACTTTGTGAAAGATGGCTTCAAATATATGAAACCTGTACGTGACGAGTATGAATCATGTAAAGAGGAAAGTCGATTCCTAAGTTCAGAAGCCGTATGGAATTCTTACTACAATATTATGTTGAAAAAATTTGAATGCTCAAACTTCCAAGACTTCAAAAAACGACAAACGACAAATATTCGTGATTCTGTTATTCCAGCTATTGATATGTACAAAGAACAGGTTTGTGACTGGTTTAAGGAGCTTTCTAACAATGTGTCCCTTCAAAACCTTGGGCGTCGTGTTCCATTTTTCAAAGATAAAGAGGAGAGCTTACATGAACTACTCATAAATAAAGTTCCTATATCTCGAGCCTTGTGGTTCGTCAATATGAGTATCATCCAGTCAACGGCGGTTGCTGAAACTGCGAAGAAAAAGCCTAGGGCTCCACAAGATCCAACCGCTGATTGGTCATCTACTCTATGTCGCATGCTGTCACGGACATTAGAGCCTATATATGCACCGATAAAGCATAATGAACTTGTAGCGTTGTATAATGATTGGGACTACCTTTTCTCCCTGCTTATTGGCATGTACGACGCAGACATTGCAGATCACTGGGAAGTCATTATATGGTTGATTAAATTGGTGGAAAATGTTCATGAACAAATTCGAGGGCATGTATCACCTCAATCTGCTGGTTTGTCACCTCTGAATAACTCTTCACATTCTGTAAAATGTGTGTCTGACTTCCCGCTTAAGTTCATTTTGCATTACCTTGTAAAGTTTGGTCGGCGATTCACTGAAAGTGAACTTTTAATTCGGAGGTTGCTGTATTGGTGTTGTACCACATTTGCAGATGTTGTTTTGACTTGTACAGGATCCGAATTTACGCCTTCAGCTTCGACATTGCAAGGCATTTTAAATGAGTATAAAGAATTAAACACATGCCCTCTGCATCGTCATATTTCACTATCATTGAGCAGTTTGATCACATTCATTATCCTAAGCTGTCCATCAGCTGCTGTATGGAATCCACTTCCTTTTAATACTGAACATGCTTACTTCAAGGGGTCGCCGCTTGATCATATTCCTCATTCATTAATAGCACTGCCTTTACCACGGGGTGAGGAATCAATATCAGTACGCAAATGCTTGTCCGAAGTTGAGGAGAATATAATAAGACGAAGCCAGCTGGCTGAATCTGGTTGGCTTATTGAACCAAGTTCAGCAAACAATGGTGAAAATGTAAGTGTTATTACTTAGATTTTTTGTTAACATCCAACAATATTGGCTTATCAATGAAGTCCGTACTATAGCTTAGTAGGTGGTGTATGCCGACATTTATCCCACTGATTCAATGTATACTTGAAGATTCCTTTATTATAAATATCTAGGTTCAAAAGTGTTCACAATCGGTTTTTGCACCATACTAATTTAGATGGTGTATGCCTTTATTCATGGTGAATTCTCACATGAGAAAAAGTCGATTTATTAGGAAAACATTTACCGTGTTTAATTTTTTTTCCACTGAATGATTCTTAAATTTTACCAATAATTTATTGGGTATCTTTTCTTCAAAATGACAAGTATTAATCAGTTTTTGAATGTTAGGACCAAAGAAAATCCCCTTGATGTCATAAGGTTATCTCACTTCCGAAAAAGAAAGCTGACCTGATTAGCTGGTCTAAATAGGGTTTACCTTTAGATCAGTTTAACATGCAGGAATGTTTTGATAAACTTTCCAAATCTTCATCGATTTAAAGTACGCAGACGACGTTGTCTTGTTTAGGTGGAGACTTTTGAAAACCTTAAGCAGAAATCTTGGTATTTTTGGCTTGAGATTCACATGTGTCAAATGTATGATGATGATGATACAGGACAGGTCTGCATAGAGGGCTAGTTTTAAGATAGGCGGCTAATTGGTTGGGTGTGTTGACCACTTCACGTATTTGTTAAGTTGCAACAGCCCTAGTGGACTGATAGTTGGCAAAATCCCAGCGCACATACTAAAGGCTCGTGTGGTATTCGCTAACTTACGTCTTCTTTAAAGTATATGATATTCTGCTACCGAGCAAAGTTCACATGTACTGCACAGCACTTATCTCCGTCCTCTGTAGCCATGGGATGTGGCGATTGAAAGTGCGAGATATGGAGAGACTAGCTGTCTTTGATCATAATTGTTTGCATTCTATATTTTTTTTATTGTTTTGTGAGTAGGAATGTAAAATATCTCAGACTGCAATCACATTTACTTTTGTAGTACTGGAGGTGAAAGCTGTTGTCAATCATCTTCTGGCGAATAATGTTCATTCATGGTATTGTTTGTGCGTATTTCTGATTACAGTTTTGGTGGGTACTTCAGAATCAAGTTTTCGAGGTACCAGCTTTAGATTGTAGCTCACCAAACAGTGCATAAGTCATACTTATTGATTTGCAGTCATCTGAAATTTAGTTAATATAAGTAGTGTGGCTTAGATTTATCCCGTTGTTTGAAGTGAAGTGTCTGAGACGATATGCAACAGTAGCATTCGTTATATCAGTTGGTGTTTGTCAATTTAAGATATGTGCAAGTCAGCGAGAATCATGATTTGAGATAAGAACAAATTAGTTCAGCGAAGAGTCTCTTTTCGGCGAATTCATTCACTTAGCTGTACAGTCGCAAATATATACAATAATTTTGTGTGTGTGTGTGTGTGTGTGGACATTAGGTTTGTCAGAATCAAAATCAAAATAACAGTTAGTGTGGGTTGTTGATTACATCATCAAAATAATTAAGAAATTAAAATGTGTGATTAATAATCAAAGTTGTAACTAAGTGGGGTGAAAACTGGTAAGATGTGAGTAGGGTTACGTAATATAGACATGTTTAGAAAGATTAGATGTTAGTGAAGGAGTATGGAGACAATTATGAAAATAAACTAGATAATAGGTGAAAAGATTGAATGGGTTAGTTACTAAAAATTATTATACGAAAATTGCAAAAAAAATTTGATAACAAAATGTTGATGACAGATAAATTTGAAATTAAACCCACGGTAATAGGTTTAAGATTTGAATTCTCGTTGAAAGTGGTTCCCTTTAGGGAAGATCAATCACATGTGTTACTTTACGGGTAGTCACTGATGAGATCCTTCAGTCCACGATACCTTTTATACACATATTTTGTGAATTACTATATGAAATGTTATTTTGTTTAGTAATTTTCACACATGAGATGTACTTCATAAAACACATCAATATCGGTGAATATTTGTTCTTATTTTGTAGTAGTGAGTGAAGTGTTTTACTCAGTGATACTCAGTGCTAAACTCGCTGGATTTTAAGTTCAGTTTACTTCCTTTTTCAGTGCCATTGCAGTTTGTAGTAGTTTAAAGCAGCATCCTTTCGTTCCAGACTCTTCATTGACTTGTTAGTCACTCATTTTAGATGTAACCTACTATATATAGACATTTCAATTAAAAATAGTGTATAACGAAAGTGAAGACATTCAGCGAAGGGACTCTTTTCGGCGAATTCATTCACATAGCTGTACAATCGCATTTATATATAAATATTTGTGTGTGTGTGTGTACATGAGGTTTGTCAAGTTTAGATAATTGATTAGTTAATACAAGAATGATGTAGTATAGAGACAAAGTTAATCAGACAGCAACTAAAGTAAGATTGAGTTAGTAAGCTAGATGACGTAATATAATTGACTAAAGTGTTACAACTTAGGTCAGGATAGCAACAGAGGTAATTACAGGTAGAGATTAAGTAGAAGTGAAATTGAGTAAATAAGTTGGATGACGTAACATAAATGACTAGAAACTGAGCGATGTTCAAGTCAGTAACAGTGGTAGTGAGGTGTAGAAATTGAATCGGGTGGGGGTAGAGAACAAGAAAGTTGAAAATGTAAAATATTACAATTGAGAAGGCAAAATAATACTAATGAAGAGACAGAAGAAAAGATTAGGTAGAATTTACTTGTCGGCTACTAAGATAGATTACGTCCATTGTAAGTGTAGTGATTGAACGAACTTCTTCTGTATGCAGAGTTCAGGACTTAGCAAGTGAATCGCCATTGCTTCTGCAGTTTGAAGGAGTCTGATTCGTACACCTTAAGGCAGACTACTTCTTACTCTGTAGACGACTTTGAAGTTTGTTTGCGGTGTAGCTTGGTGTCCGGATTCTATCAGATGTTCTAAGATGGAACTGCGGGGGCATCGATTTTCTCCTTTGTAAAACCATGTTGGTAAGTGTTCGGTGATACGTTTGGAAAGCGAGCGCTGGGTACGGCCGACATACCTGGCTCCACACGAGCAGGTGAATTGATAAATGCACATTGATGAGGCCAGCAGCGGTAGCTTATCCTTCACGTTCACATGAATCATAGGTTTTGTGGAGAAGGTTAGTCGTAGTTCAGCTGCGAAGAAGGTCTTCTTAAGTGAGCGCGACAGTCGATTTTTTAGTGTTTCCGCAGATAAATCTCCATTGAATTGAAGATTCATGTAGAGTAGTTTTTTCTTGACGCTAAGTATGGGTGGCTTTTCTGGTCTAGGCTTCATAGATTTTGCAATAAATCTTTCTGGATAGCAATTCTCGACGAGGATTCTCTTGAGGTTGTCCAGTTCATCTTCTATGGTGTCCGGGGTGCAAATTCTGCGAACTCTGTAGCTGAGTGAACGGATCAGGTTTCGTTTGGTGTATAGTGGTACCCAACTGTGAAAGTTAGTAAGCTGTCCGTTCCACATCGATTTTCTGTGGACAGATCTTTTCAGTGTTCCGTCCTGTTCTCTTCTTGTTAGTTGGACGTCAAGAAAAGATATTGTGGAGTTGGACTCTTTCTCCATCGTGAACTGAATTGCAGGGTGGCAGTTGTTAAACGACTTCAAGATGTCGTCTAGATTTTCTTCGTTGTTGACGATAATGAAGGTGTCGTCGACGTATCTTTTATAGATTTCGAAGGTATTGATCATTTTCTTCAGGCATGTGTTTTCGAGTTTTGCCATGAAGAAATCTGCAAGCAAAGGGCCTAGTGGTGAGCCCATAGCTATACCATCCTTTTGGCGATATATTTCGTTGTTGAACGAAAGTGAAATTGGCGAAGCCTATTACTATCTTCTGAACTTGTTCTATACAGATTATAGTAGAGTTAAAGCTGTTTTCTTTTTGTTTAAATGTCTCCTACGGAGTTTTCCTCATATCTGGATAAACTGCCATTGACTTGGTTGTTTATTTCTTTCTGTATCGTTCCACTTTAGTTACTTACTCCTGCTTAATCATGTAAGGTTAATGATAAGTTTCTAATTTGATTTGAATTTAAACTAGAGTGGGACGTGGTCACAGAACTGGTTCCACATGTTTGTTTATATTTCTCAGAATCTAGTGAACGCCAATGGAACTTAACAGGGAAATTTTACACCAAACGACGACTATGGAGGCGAAAATAGATATGTATCTATGAATTTTTGAGAAATAGGCTTGCAGTTATAGTGTTCACAGTCATACATTATGAAATACTTATAGGTTTAAAAGTTTAAGACGGCAATCAAGAGAAATAATTGGTTTTCAGTTTAAAGGGAAATCGTTAGGAACTTATTACATTTTTTGACAATCTCGTGTTTATAGGTTTGTGATAAATCATTTTAATGAGGTGGAGGCAAGGCATTTCATGTCTGATTTTCAGATACTTAGTTGCGCTTGGACTAGTTCCTACCTTGTAGAAAGTAGAATGCAGTAACAGATGTGCTATGGCGATGTTTCTTCGCGAAGGGACTACCGAGAAAATACATTGCACTACTTAAGGCACTCTACTCAAACCCACGCAGCCTTGTGTGAGCCTATGGAGAGTTGTCATCTGAAGTGAGGATGCCCACTATCGCCATTTCCGTTTAATTTCATCATAGGTATACTAGTGGATTTGACTCTGACTGACTTTAGTAGCTTAGTAACTGACTTGTTACTAGCGAGTAGTCTTATTGACTTAGTGTATGCGGGTGATGTTGTCCTCGTAGGTAAAGACGCTGATAAAAAGTACAGTCTTCTGAAATCTTCGAAATGTTTGGCATGCGATTCGACTGTGTCAAAATGTAAGATGATGCTACAAAGCTGGAGTACATCGACTGCTAGCTTAAGGATAGGGGGTGAAGTAGTAAAGCGTTTTAACCACTTCACGTATTTCGGAAGCGACATTAGCCCCAACAGACTGATTGCTGACGAAATCTCAGCATGGTTACAAAAGGCTCGTATGACATTTTCCAACTTAAGCCATTTCTGGCGCAGACGATGGAAGGACGTATACCGTACAACAGTTCACTCTTTCCTTTTTTATGGTTACGAGACATGGTCATTGAAAGTTGAAGATATGAAAAGGTTGACTATCTTTGGCCACAGGTATTTGCCTTTTATCTCCTGTGTTAATTGGTATTATATGGTGAGTAATATTGAGGTTAAGCGTGGAATGTTAAGTAGGGAATAGAAGTATACCAATGAGTTTGTGAAGCTGCATCTATTGAGGTAGCTAAGACATGTGTATTGCCCATGCTGAGCCACTGTCTTTCTTGTCGAGAAATGTTAGGCTGGAAAAGAGTTGAGGATACTTAAACCAAAATCTGGCACCAATCCATCCATCCTTTGACTGTTGGTTTGAACCAGCCACATAGGCAGGTGTAGAGCACCTGATTGGATCCAATGGCTTTGGAACTGTTGGTGATATAGCTCAAAATTGTTCTCAGTGGCTGAGATATATTCGCTATCCCTCAGGTCCATTAATTCTCCATTTTTTTCCATCTTATTGCTCTTTCTCTTGTACATTTCTGATCATTATAGTCCTTTTGGATCTCTTTTTTTCTCTCCTTTTTCTACGTTTGTATGCTATACGGAGTGTGACAACTTAAACTGCTGCATTTCTATGCATTGTTCATTGTTAAAACTGAGTCAATCAGATTAAAGTTTTTCATGGTGCATAACTGATTTACCTTATTCAAGTTTTAACACATTTGTATGTGTGTGTGTATGTCTCACTTTTGTTCATCTCGCTTTTCATTTAGGTTGAACGTCTTGTTCGCCTGTTGGAGATATTAGATCGTCATGAATATCATCTTGTTCGTGAACCTAATCCAATAGAGTCATTGTATAATCGTATATTCAATGATGATGCTATCCATGAGGATACAGCCACAGTTGTAACAACATTGTGTGAATGGGCTGTATCACCATATCGTATTGGAATTTATCGGTCAATAATTGTTGCATGTTTATTAGAACAGTTCAAAAATACATTTATTGGCAGTGCTATCATGGCGACTACTACTACTACTACCACTGGTATTGTTACGACTGCTCCTACTACTAATAATAACGGCAATACACTAGTACAGTCAACAGCAACAACTACAGCTCCTACTGTCAACAGTAACATTAATCCTAATACTACCTCCACTAATACGGCTAATAATAATACTAATGCCAACAGCAATAATATGGCTTCAGAAGCCTATCAATCATTACAAGAAACACTGATTAAATTTTTAGACAATTGTACTGCACAACTACCATCATTCAATGGAGAACAATCATTAATTGAAAATGATTTAATGCGTAATCTTGTCTGTTTGTTCTCTGAGTTAATTGATCGTGAAGTATTTGATCATGATAATTATGTCAGACATTTCATTGCACGCGGTGTCTTTGACACAAGTCTTCATCCATTAGCAGTTGTCGATAATCCCCTTCAAAATAAACTCAATACATCAGGCAATCCATTATCGTGTGGTAATAATATGAATCAGTCTGTGAATACACCGACAAGTGTGACACGTTCCACGAATACAACTACTTCAACAGCATATCATTTACAGTCAGCAGCTCAACATTCGGTGAAATCAGAAATTTCTGAAGATATGGATCGTTATAGTATGGATAATCCTGATTCTGTACGCTCTGAATCTGGTATATTATCGAGTGTTGTAAATAGTTCTTCAGGGATAACAATGACTACAGCCAGTCTTCATCATACAACCTCCACTATAGGTAATCGTTTAGTGAATTCAAATCAATCAGGTCATTTGCATTATCTAATTCAATTCCCTATACCACAAGATGAAAGTTATGCACATGAACAGAATCAACGCTTCCAATTATTGTATGGTTCTGTTCGATCACGTGATCGGGCAAGATATCCTATTCGAAAGTTGGTACGTGATATTTGTAAACTGTTTACTAAAAAGATTTATCTAATCGATGTTTTTCACGGTGAACTTGGTAGGCGTAAAAAGAGTAAGGATAGAGAACGTGAAAAGGACAACACCAGTAGTAGTAATAGCAGTACTAACAACAGCAATAGCGGTACCAATATGGGAACAACAGCGACCGGGTCAACAACAGCAACAACACAGTCTACAGCTTCAAATGCAGTTGGAACACCGGGGAGTACAGGTGGCAGTGGATCTGGACATCGTACAACAAATGATGAGACAAGATCAATTGATGAACTTCATGAGGATATAATGAAACGTTTTGTTAATTTATCATTTTATGATATGGAATATGTACTGTCACAGTGTACACCAGTTTTTGTAAAAATGCTTAATGGATCAAATTGTCATTCAAGTTCCAATGCACCAACTGATGACAGTGTTAATTCAACAGTTAATACAAACTCTCCGTGTTCTGCATCCACTCTGACTGCTAATCAGAATAATAATAACAATAACAGTAATAATACCAATAATAGTAATAATCTATCTAGTGTTAACAGTCAATTACCAGTCAGTGCATCTAATGTTCAGCAGTCACACATTTATATGCCTGTACCAAGTTCAATTTTCCTATTTTTTGAATTAATTGAAACATCATTGAATATTACATCGCTGATATTGACTGTTATTGATACATTGGAGCGTTTAAAAATCCTATTTGAAAATCGTACACATTTTATGACATTGTATATGTCATCTTTATGCCTTAGAGCAGTAGGCATACTACAACGTTATCAAAATGTATTATTTACAATGGGTGATATATCTAGTCGATTATTTCCAACACTGATTGAACAAGTTCGACAAGTGAAAGAACCAACACAATGTGGACCACTTGAACGGTGTATTCTAATCTACCTGAATGATTTATTTACATCGAATGTTGTTATAAAAACACGTTTTTCTCCAATCTATGGTAAAGCTCATCAAAAAGTCAATGCACTGTTACGTCGTGTTGATCCAAATGAAGGTATGGGACAATTTGACGCGGATTATGCTAATGATTTATTGGCGACAACATCTATGGATAATTTAACATCATTTCGAGCCTATGCTGAAGATTTACGCCTTAAACCAGATTCACGTTATAGTTTTGTATGTAAAGCTATTATATGGATATGTCAAGCAAAAACACCTGAACGTGTTAATTATTTATGCGGTTTATGCGCTGAATTAACTTCTCAGTGTAGTGAACTTACTCCAGAATGGCTTGGTGCTTTCTATGCTATACTAGCACCACGTTCCTATGTACATGGTTATCAGCCTTTAGTGAGTACTATTGAACCAAATCAAGTATGGATATATGATAATTTGAGTTCATTGATTGGTACACTATTGTCAAGATACTGTTTTACTATTTCAGATTTTTTACGTTTAGTTATATGTCCAGCAATGGCTCAAGGATTGGATGATGTTAGTCAACCTGTAGGCGCTCAGCTAGAGTCAATCATTTCTCTTGCTTGTCATATTCTGCATCGTTTATTTACAGCTGAGTCAACGGTCAGCTCATTACAGACTACATCTAGTGTATTGACACCAACTCCAGAGGTGAGCACATCCACTAATACCAGTACTACTACTACTACTAATGCTCCAAATAGTAGTGGAAATCCTGACACCTTGTTAAATCCATCACCACCTCCACCTTTTCGTATTTCTGAACCATTATTACTAACCGCGGCTTTACAAAAAGTCACTTCAGAGTTTCTAGTTGATGTACTTAAAATGCTTATTGTACACAGTGATAAAGCTTCTGTAGAAAATCAAGCACCAGGAAGTTTACAAGGCGAAAATGCTGAAGAGACAGTAGACGGTGATGGAGATGATAACGATAATGATGGTGACGGGGAAGATGACGATGATGATGATGGCGTTGGCAATTCAAATGATCGTGACGGCGATGACGATGAGGATGGTGAGTTGACAGACATTGACTCTGAAGGTGATACAACATTCAGAAGTGCAACGCGTAAACGTATTAAAGCTCCGCAACAAAAAGCGAATAAATCAAAGAAATCTAAACGTCGTCGACGTCGTCAACATAATCGTAAGGCAATTTCACAAGTTCATCATGTTGTACAAAGATTTCTAGAACAGGACATTTTACCGACAAGTACAGAATTGCACTCTTTACCGTTAAATGCTTTAACACAATTAGTACTACGTGAAATATGCACTGTACCATGGGTACGTGAACGTTTCCACCAAATGACTCCGAATCAGTTGATACGTGAAAATGTATTGATTGATAAGAATTTCTCTCAAAGTCAAGCTAGACGTCTTCTACACATCATCTATTGGCCGTATGATTTATCATGGACAGATATAGCTTCAACATCTGAAGGACTGTCTGGTGCAATGTGTCATGTCCTACGTGATTTAAATATATGGACATTAAAATGTGCACAAATGGAATTCCAGCTATTATATGCTCAAATATCATTTTCACAACAAGGTGAAGTACTCGGCTATTTAGCACAATCAATAGTAAAAGGATTTCAAGCCCAGGTGTCCAATTGGCTTGATTCTAATAATTGTGGAAATTTTCAAGATGGATCTATAGGACATGTAGATGGTTTGCCAAGCATTGAATTAGGCGATAATGATCCCGTGTGGTTGTTACCAGCACTAATTGCCAAATTACCGAAATCACTGAAAGTGCAGATTATCAAAGTTACATCAGAGGTCAGTCAGTTTTTCTTGTTGGTTTTTTTCTCTCTCTAAGATATTAGTTGTTTTAGTATACATTTTGAAGTTCTTACTGAATGACTCTATCTAGTTAGTAAGTCATCGTAAAATAAAAAAATAACGTTGAATGTTTTTGACTTCCCATTAATTTGAGACTAATGAATAGTGTATATATGTATTCTCAGCTTTCCTGAACCACTAAGTAATCAGAGATATTAGTGTTGGACTTGAAGAAATTTTCCATAATAATTAAATGGGTTTCAGGGTATAACTTTGTGCAAAAATGCAACAGTTCGTTCAAGTTGCCACATTCCATGTAGCACACACACACAGAGGTAGAGTATTGAGAGAAAAAGAAATTACATAGAGTGAATGCATCTGTACGTGCCATTGAGAACGATTTTGAGCCATATCACCAACAGCCTCAAAGCCATTGCTTCTTACCATCTCTTGAGGATCCTAGTCACACAGTCTTCACCTCACTAAATGACTCAAACCAATAGGCAAAGACCTCATAGGGATTAGTCCCAGGTTTTGATTTGACCACACTTAACTCTTTCCCAACTTAATCCTGTGTTAGCTAACATTGTTTGTCGAAGAAGGCAGTGAATCGACATGCACAACACATATCCAAGACATCTCACTCGATGTAGTTTCACAACCGCATTGATTGACTTCCCTTCCCATAGTATCCATCCATTCGGACGGCGTAGCTGAAATGGAATAGATGGGTAGACTACTGAGTTAGAAGTTAGTTGGTGGATGGTGACTAGCAGTGGAATAGTCCAGGATAACGCGCATTTCGTCCTATTTAGGACTCGTAGCCAGCTGGATGTCCCTGCATTCCCAGTCAGTGAGTGATGATGTTCCCACCGAGGCTCGAACTCAGTGCCCATAGTTTAAGACGTTAAAGTATTATCCACTAGACCACTTGTTCACCAATCGATGGGAAAATCTAAAATTGAAATAAATAATTAATATAACCCGTTGCACAAGAGGTGGCGCTAGTAGCCCAAGTGGTCTAGTGGATAACGATTTGACGTCATAAGCAATGGACACTGAGTTCGAGCCTCGGTGGGAACATCATCACTCACTGACTGGGAATGCAGGTACGTCCAGCTGGCTACGAGTCCTAAATAGGACGAAATGCGCGTTATCCTGGACTATTCCACTGCTAGTCACCATCCACCAAATAACTTCTAATTACATGCCCAGACATCGTCGAAACATCTGCACAAGAAGCCGACATGTCAACCTGAGACTGAGCACTTCAATCCAGTCAGTCGACTGGAAAATCTAAAATTGAATGAAAACTACTGAGTTGTTTTAAATTAAGGTGGAACTGATGTCCAATGCTGTTTTAGCGACTTTTTAATTGATGTTAGTGTCTAAAAAGAAGGATTCTATCCAACTTCACCTATTTCTCGAAAACCACTTACCTGTTTCACTAAATTGTTTTCAAGTATCCTTTATTTTTTTTTACTAGAATCCTAGTTTTATATTCTTAAAACGGAAATAATATATTAGTGTTTTCTTCAGTTTCATTGTTTTATTGTGTGATTAATTCAACAGTATGAAAGATGCATCTTCATTATTGTGATATGATCGTTTCACATTCTCTGGAGGTGAACTATGTATGCATATTTTAAAAACCTACTATCATTTTATCAAAAGGACTGTTTTGGAGCAGAGTTTAGAACAAGAAAATAGTGACAAAACACAAATTCCATTAAATGGAATGCATATTTTCAAAAATTGTAGCAGAAAATACTATGAACTACCTTTTTTCTTTTGCTCAATGATTTCCAACATATACACATATTCTATCTTGATAGCTGTACTTTGGTTAACAGTGTTCATACGGTTGACAATTTTTGATCTGCTTGATACCATAAATGCTAATCAAGAAGGCATGACATGATGTGCTACTGATTGATTGGGATGAGTGGTTGTCTGCTACTCACATCAACTAGCAGTACTTGATAGCCAAATGTAAACACCGGACTGCCGTTTCTATCTGGCTGGCAATCACTGCTATTATTATTATTATTGTTTCCTTCAATTCCTAGAGGAATATAGGGCTTCAGCCGTGCGTCTCCATTGCGTTCGGTTCTCTGCTAGAGTCTTCACCTGGCTCCAAGTCTGCCCACACATTTTCATCTCTTCACATGACCTCCTCCACGTCACCCTTGAACGACCAACTCACCGCTCCCCTTTCGGGTTCCACTCAAGGGCTTGTCACTTGATGGTTTCCTCAGAGTATGGCCAACCCATCTCCATTTCTTCCTGCCTACTTGTTGCACAATCGGTTCCTGCTGGGTTGGTTCGCTCATTGCCAGAGATCTCTGTTGCTGATCTTTTCTGACCGGCCATCTGATCTTGAGTATTGAGCGAAGACAACTGTTAATGAAGATCTGTAGTTCCTTTGAGATGTTTTTATGACGCGCAGTGCAAGTCTCTGATCCGTATAGTAGCACTGACTTCACATTGGAGTTGAAAATCCGGATCTTATTTTTGATGCTGAGTGCTGTTGACCTCCACACAGACTTGAGAGTAATGAAAGCTTGTCTTGCTTTTCCGATTCTTGCTTCGATATCCTCGTCAGTTCCGCCTGTAGTTGAAACGATGCTTCTCCCATTTATGCTGATTGTTGTCTGTTGTTGTTGTTGCTGTTGGTGGTGTTGCCCAGGAATCTTCATCACCTCTGTTTTCTCTATGTTCACCTGAAGTCCTATCTTTGATGCTTCTTCTGCCAACTTGTTGCTTTTCGCTTGCATATCTTCCAGTTTGTGGGAAATCAAACATATATCATCGGTGAAGTCCAGATCCTCCAGGTTTTTTGTGTGAGTCCATTTTATACCTGTTTCCTCATTGCCCGCTGTTTGTCGCATTATCTAGTCTACTGCAATCAGGAAAATCATTGGCGGTAGTAGGCAGCCAGCTTGTCTTACTCCTGTCCTCACTTCGAAGGATTCCGTAAGTTTCCCATTGTGGATTACTTGGCATGCAGCATTGTCGTGCAGCTGTTGGATGAGATGTATAATTGTTGGTGACACCCCGTAGTAGCGAAGTAGTTGCCAATCACTGCTAGTTGATGTGAATAATGTGCAACTACTCATCACAGCCAATCAGTAGTATATATGTGCAGCATCATTCGTTTGAGCTCTGTTCTGATAATTTTGACTATACTCTCTCATCTCACTCAGGTTAGGGAAGTAGCCAACATCCACTAGGAATAACGACGTTTTTCTCAAACTGCAGTCTTGTAACCTATGTAAGCTAGAATTTTTAATGTTCGACGAAAAGTTCTAGTGGTTATTACACACCATCGTGGAAGAGAGACAAGAGGGCATTATCGACGTAGAGTTTAGTGTATCACCTACAGTCTCTGTCGATAGACTCTTACTGTTTCGTAGACCTCAACTAAGCAACTTTCATACACACCTCCAACTAAAAGTCAGTGACTTTGTTGTGTTTGGTTCCGTGCATTTGTGTAAATATCAGTGGTTTTCTTCGGACATACTTTATTTCGGTAGGCGCGCATACATGACATGCACATCCTGGATTCCACTGTGCTAGTCATTCACTATCCCCAAAATTACTTCAAGTTAATCCTCAAACATCATCGAAGCATATCTGCACAACGAACTGACATGCCAACAGAGGCCGAGTATTTCGGTCTGACCAATCAATGGGAATTGGATTAAAAATAAATAGCTGACACCCGCTGCACACGATGTGGTGGCTCTTGTAGTCCAAGTGGCCGACTGGATAACTCTTTGGAGTTTGGAACGATGGATAGTGGTTTCGAGTCTCAGTGACTGGAGAGTGCACACACTTCCAGATGACGGGTCGCAAATGGGACGAAGTGCGAATCCTGGATTCCACTGCTAGTCATCATTTAGCAAATCACTTTAAGGCTTTAAAGTTGTGTAACTCCTACAAGTGCCTCGCCTTTCTTACTTAAGATTTCGCCTGATCTCTTTGTAGCTTACATGATGTTCCACCGAATGGGAGCCATCCTACCTAAGGCGGTACTCGTCAAATATTTGAGACGTTTTCTTATCTTCATTTACTGGCTGCTATCTGCGGATATACATCAAGTTATGATAGACTGGTTGAAAGGAAAGGATTCATTCACTTAGTGGAAAGAGTAAAGAATAGATACCACGGTCAAATGACCTTCAGTCGGCCAATTAGATCGCTCAACATTACAAAAGGATGCTTTTCGTAGTTGTCGTTGTAAGTTTCACTCTGATTTAGGGTTAGGGTTACGATTGACTTAAGTATAGGGTAAGGATTAGAGTGGGGTTTCATTCAGGGTATGGTTAGGTTTGGATTACGGTCAGGGTAAGGTTATGGTGAAGGCTAGAGTAGGGTTAGGGGGAAACTTGCAACGAAGATTATGGACAGCATGTATTTGAAATGTTGAGTGCTGTGACTATTATGACATTCATTGTAAAGTCAATCATTTACCAAGATTAATGAAGGATTTTGGGCATATAAAGAATCCCGGATTTTACACATTGGGTCATAGGAGTTAATAAAAAGACAATTGCAGCGAAGAAAATTTTCTTTTCGACGAAGTCATCATCCCGGACTTGAATGGTGTAAATCTACAACCACTTCTATTCAAACATGGGACCCGTTTTTGCAGCATATTAAAGGCATATACACTGGATTGTATAATTGATTTTTATTATGTATATGTATCCTGTAAATATACTTCCTTTACTAAAATGCCACACTTCACCTAGAAGAGTGTAATCGGTTATTCTAAGGTCATTCAGACGTGGTACCTATTCTTTACTGTTGCCCACTTAATGATGCAGTCCTTACGTGTATGTTGTTAAATAGTGATTGCTTCAATTTTCCATCCTCCTTTAAAGTCCAGCTCGTTCTGTTCCACAAATATTTTAGCATATACGATAAACATTCAAGTAAGGCTAGAATGAAACTACTCACCAAGTAAAACACAAAACAGTAATTGCTGAATA